CGGGCTCCGGGCGGGGGCGGGCCCCTGCGCTCCCCTGCGCTCCCCCCACCTTTGCTTCTCTTTCTCCATCTCTTTCTCCATCTCTGGCCTCCCCCGCTCACCTCCCTCCTCTCTCCCCTGCCGCCTCCTCCCGCGCTCAGTGGGAGACGGATGACACGGCCGAATATGTAAGTAGCGCCCCTGGCCACCCACCCACTACTGTGCGCTTCCCGCGGGCCGTGCTGTGCTGTGACTCCTGCTCGCCCCTTATTATCAGTAGTAAAACGGTCTCCTCCTCTGGGCCCTCCCGTGCGCCCTTCGCGCCCCCATTACCTCTTGGAGCGCCCAGCCTCGGTGTTTGCCCCAGGGAAATGGGATACTCTGACCACCGTGCGCCCCAGGGTGCAGACCCAAGGGGTGGCTGGAGCACCAGGACCTGAGGGTCATCCCTGAACCCTCTCACCCTAATGGCTCCTGACGTTGGCGGGGATCAGGCCTCCTGGGTCCTTCCCCTGCCCTTAGTCGTTCCTCCTGTGAGTATGTCTCCTCTCCTGTTAGACCCAGCCCCAGCCTTTAATGACGCTCAATTCAGCCCTATCTGACCTAGAAATGCCTCTCTCTGGACATGCTGTCCTCTTCATTCTGGCCCCCGGGTGATGAGAGGTGTCAGCAGGGCCTGAGTGGGGAAGGATATCTGTGATACCCTGGTTACAACCCCACAGTGCTTTAAACCAGAGAGGAATTGCTGTGTGACTTTGGGCAAGTTGCTGCCTCTCTCTGGGCTATCTCCCTGCCCCGAAAACGGGAGCACCAGCCTCTGCTGAGAACCCCAAGTCTGATATTAAATTGACACTGGTCCTTTGGCCGGGCATGGTAGCTCATGCCTGTAATCCCAGCACTTTGGGAGGTTGAGGCAGGTAGGTCACCTGAGGTCAGGAGTTCAAGACCAGCTGGGCCAACAGGGCCAAACCCCATCTCTACTAATAATAGAAAACATTAGCCTGGTGTGGTGGTGGGCGCCTGTAATTCCACCTACTCAGGAGGCTGAGGCAGGAGAATCATTTGAACCCGGGAGGCGGAGATTGCAGTGAGCCGAAATGGCGCCACTGCAGTCCGGCCTGGTCAACAGAGGGAGATCCTGTCTCTTTTTTTTTTTTTTGAGATGGAGTCTCACTCTATTACCCAGGCTAGAGTGCAGCGGCGTCATCTCGGCTCACTGCAACCTCCACTTCCTGGGTTCAAGCTGCCCTCCTGCCTCAGCCTCTCAAGTAGCTGGGATTACAGGCACCAGCCACTGGGCCTGGCTGACCCCATCTCTAATAACCAAACAGGCACTGGTCCCACATGCTCCGATGCCTCCCGTCTCTCACCCACACTGGATCTAGAGGGAATGTTCCCACCTGGGCTCCAACCCTGCTCTTCCCGCAGAGACCCTGGGAGGGATGGACTGTGAGGCTCAGGGGCAGGAGACCCTGTTTGTGCATCCCCATCACCCCTCCTTGTCCCCCTGGCCTGGGTCCACCCTACCGTTCCCAGGCATGTCAGCCTGTGCTAAGGGGATTGTGTGCTTGCAGACACGGGAACACATGATGCTGTGAGCATGTGCGCAGGTGTTATACAAGTCCGTGTGCTCAGGAGTGTTCTGTGCTGTCATTCATTGGACGAGTAGTCATTTATTGAGCACCTACTATATGCTAGATGCTGAGGATGTGGTAGTGACAAGAGCTCCTCCTCCCTAACAGTCATACTCTAGTGAGAGGGATGTTAAATCAGAACAAAACACACATTGGCTGGGCACGGTGGCTCACGCCTGTAATCCCAGCACTTCAGGAGGCTGAGGCGGGCCGATCAGCCGAGGTCAGGAGTTCGAGACCAGCCTGACCAACATGGTGAAACCGTGTCTGTACTAAAAATGCAAAATTAGCCAGGCGTGGTGGCGCGTGCCTGTAATCCCAGCTGCTTGGGAGCCTGAGGCAGGATAATTGCTTGAACCGAGGAGGCAGAGATTGCAGTGAGCCGAGACCATGCCATTGCACTCCAGCCTGGGCAACAAGAGCGAAATTCTATCTCAAAAAACAAAAACAAACAAACAAAAAAAATGGTTACAGCTGTGGTGGGGATGGGGTTTAGATGGTGAGATAAATGTTTAAAAATCAGCTCTCAGCCAGGCACAGTGGCTCGTGCCTGTAATCCTAGCACTTTGGGAGGCAGAGGCAGGTAGGAATTTAAGACCAGCCTGGACAACATGGCAAGATCCCATCTCTACAAAAAATATAATCATTAGCCAGGCGTGTGGAGGGTGCACGTCTGTATTCCCAGCTACTTGGGAGGCTGAGGCGGGAGGATCGCTTGAGCCCAGGAGGTCGAGGCTGTAGTGAGCTATGATTACACACTGCGCTCCAGCCTGGGCAACAGAGTGAGACCCTGTCTCAATAAGAGATAAAAGTAAAAATCAGCTCTCTGGGTGGGCAGAAGGGGGCGGTCCTATTTTGTAGCATTTGACCATTTCCGTGGTGTAAATACTTCCCACCATGTCAATCTCAAGCTACCTGGGAGGTGCGTAGCTCATCATCGTGTATTTCTACTCTACAGATGCAATAGATGAGATGATCTCAAAGCAGTAACCTTACAGATACCCAAAGAGATAACAGAAACCATATTGCAATAGCTAGAAAGGGTGGGTTTGCTGTATTTATTGCCTTTGCTTTCAATATAACTTAGTTGATTGTAACTTTACACAGTTTATTTATTTTTGAGACAGAGTCTCGCTCTGTCACCCAGACTGGAGTACAGTGGCACCATGTTGGCTCACTGCAATCTCCGACTCCTGGGTTCAAATGATCCACCTGCCTCAGCCACCTGAGTAGCTGGGACTACAGGCGTGGGCCACCACGCCTGGCTTTTTTTGGTTGTTGTTTTTTTTAGGTATTTTTAGTAGAAACAAAGTTTCTCCATGTCGGCTACGCTGGTTTCAAACTCCTAACCTCAAGTGATCCTCCTGCCTTGGCCTCCCAAAGTGCTGGAATTACAGGCATCAGCCACTGCGCCCAGCCTTATACAGTTTAACTTTTAATAACAGCTCTGCTTCATAAGTGGCTCACAAAATTCCTGAAAATTTAAGCAGTTGGTACAGGACACCTCCAGCACACCAGTGGGTGTAGAGGCAGAAGGGAAGGCCAGTGCCAAAGGGCCTGAGGCAGGCTGTGCCTGGTGCATTGGAGGAACAGCAAGGAGAACCCTTTGTGGGCCACAGGGAAGACTTGGGCTTTGACCCCCAGAGGGGTGGGAGCCATGGAGGGCTGTGGGGAGAGCAGGGACGGGCCCTGACTCCAGTGCTCACAGGCGCCCTCTGGCTGCTGTGGGGAGGACAGACTGTCAGGGGTGATGGCGGGAGTGAGGGGAGCAGAGCAGAGAGGACCCAGTTGGTCCTGGCAAGTGACAGTGGGTTGGGTTGTTGCATGTACCCTCTGAGCATGGCCATGCTACGTGTCTTGGTCTCTGCATGAGCTTGTGTGCACGTCTCTGCCCGTGATCCGGGCCCTGCATCTTCCTTGCTTGATCTCAGCACAGGGAGTGGGGGTGGGCAGGGCTGCTCCCAGCCCCAGCCATGGTGCTGACCCCCAGCCCTGCCCGCAGGAGATGGTCATCACAAACCTGCAGCCTGAGACCGCGTACTCCATCACGGTAGCCGCCTACACCATGAAGGGCGATGGCGCTCGCAGCAAACCCAAGGTGGTTGTGACCAAGGGAGCAGGTATGCGACCCGCCCACCCCCTACCTACGGCCTCTTTGCCCTCCCCCCCGCCACTGGCACCAGAGCGTGCCTCCAGAGTCCTTGAGCTCCCAAGGGCGGGCAGAGGGTGCACCAGGCAGTAGGAACAGTGAGACAGGTGTGAGGGCTGGTCAGGCGGGTATCCAGGGCCCAGCGTGGCCCCCCCCACCCCTGCCTCCTTTGTCACTCACTTCCTGTTCCCCACCAGACAGAAACAGTTAACAGCCACCTCGGACCCCTTTGTTCTCTCAGCCTTTACTTGGGCTGTTCCCTCTGCCAGAATACCCTTTCTCCTGCTGGTTGGCTCCTCCTCTGCCTTTAGGTCTCAGCTCAAGGTACACCTCCCTTAGAAAGCCTTCCCTGATTGCCTCATCCCACAATCTTGGTCCTTCTGGGCCCCCTAGTCCCCTGTGCTTCCACCATCCGGGCTCTGATCGCCCCGGCTTGGTGGTTATTTCACGGTGGTACACCTGTCTTCCCCCACACGCACCAGGAAGCCACCTTTCTGTTGGTGGTCCTGACTCAGTTTCCCCTTCTAGCCCCTCCATTGTCCCTTCCATCATCCCCAAGGGGCTGGCTTTTTTTTCCAGCCAAAGTGGAGCTGAATTAAGAAAAAGAGACTGCTGTGAAGATGTGAGGGGAGGGTACACCGGGCAGAGGGCACGGCTCAGAGGAAAACTCAGGGAGTGGAGTGGAGGGAGCGGACGGAACAAGCTCTGGGTTTTTAGGAGCAATCAGCGGGCTTCTGTGGCTTCCATCCCAGTCCCCACACCTACCCTCTCCTTGGGGACCCTTGTAGCCACACCACTGACTGTGTATCCCACCTTTCAGGCCTCCCAGCTGGACACGGCGCCTGTCCTTGTCCACACTATTCCCTTCGCCCACCTTGTCTGCATCCTCCAGTATCTAGCTCTAATGCCACCTCCTCCAGGCAGCCTCCTGTGATCTCTCCCTCCCTTCTTTTAGCCAGCAGGGCATTTCCCTCCTCTCTCAGGGACATTGTATTAGAGCTGTGTTTCCTAAGCAGAACCCACTGCATACACTGCTCTCCCCACCACCCTAGGTATTCATAGCAGTCCATTAAAGGCCCTGATAAGTCCTGCAATAGAGAAGTCCATTTTCATGTATACAGCCCAGCTTTCCCCCCCTTCTTTGCCTGACCCTGTAACCTGTCTCAGCACGAGCAGGGGTGGGATTTTGGATGTCTTTATGTCCCATGGGTATTGGGCAGGTGCCTGAGCAAGGGCCAAATAAACAAGGCAGGAGATGGCTGCCTTATTAATGGAAGGAGGAGGACCTGCTGCAGCACCTATCAATGTTTTCCTTTACTGGGTCTCTGAGTCCTCACTTCCTCACTGTGCCTTATGTGCCCCTAGCCCCGTGCCAGCTCTGCACCTTTACATGGGCCATTCCCGCTTCCTGGAGCACGATTCCCCCCAGATCTTCTCGTGGTTCCCCTCTTTCTTCCTTCAAGTCTTTGTTTCTTAAGTGAGGCTTTTTTGAGACCTTTTTTTTTTTAAAGACAG